GCCGGCCTTGAGCGCACGCAGAGCCCGAAATGTCGAAATGTCGCCAGCACAGGCTGCCCAGGGGCGGCGGGGCGAGCTGGTGGGGCACGGGCGACTTTGAGGGCAGTGAGCGACTGGATGACCTGTCACGGTGGGTCCATGACATCGGGCATTTGTCACGCCCACACCCGGGGACCCTGTTGTGAAGTGTGGACTTCAGTTATAGGCACGCACTGTTGGTTCATCGGGGTAACAAATGCACCCGCTCACGCCAGGTGTGCGGGCGCCGTGGGCGGGAAGCAGCAGCCGAGGAGCCCTCTGCTCTCCGCTGTCCACCTGAACAGCTCTAAACGCCCAAACCTATTCATTAAAAACCAAGCCTGTCACCAAGGCCCGCACAGCGCCCGGACCCCTCGCGGCTTTTTTGATGAATATTTCAGGTCTCCGTTTGCGCAGTGACAAACGGCTTGGATCTGAGATAAAGCTGCTCACTCTAAAGCGAGCCATCCAGCCCGGGCGGGGGGCGGGGCACCGTCTCCTGGGGGCTGAGCGCTACCCCCACCACAGCCTCAGGACCTCACCTGGGACCCATCGAGGGGAGGGCCAGTCCCGGGCCGGGCTCCTCGGGGGGCGGGCTGGCCTGGGTTCGCCGAGGCAGCTCCCACAAAGCGCGCTTGACCAACATAGCTCTGTCCTTGGTGCCCCCCAGGCTGCGCTGTCCACCCCTCGGGCCAGCCCTGGGATTCACGGGACCCACAGACCTCGGTGCTGAAGGGATTCACTCCTGAGTCCAACCCCTCAGGGAGCACAGGGGAACCTGAGGCCCCGGGCTGGGGGGGCTGGCCCCGGCCTCCTGTGGGTGGGCTGTTTTCTGAGGATATGCCAGCTCCTGTCCTGGACAGTCTCAGGGTGTCCCACACGCTGGGGACCTCACATGAGACACCTCCCCTGGAGCGGGCTCCCTCGGGCTCCAGCTGGGGGCCCTGAGGCGTCACCCTGAATGGGGGGGGGGAGCGAGAGGCCCCAGAGGGATGCTCCGTGACCTGCAGAGACAAGGGTTCCACTGGGCCGGGGGAGGCAGGCCTGCCGTGGGGACAGCCCCTCCCCAGGCGCATGGCCAGCCGACCGCGGGCTGAGCCCAGAGGCGGACCGGGCTCCGCTGCGCCGTTCAGGGCGGAGAGCAGAGAGCAGCTGCCCAGAGTTCATGCCCGGACATCGGGGGCCAAGGACACAGTTTGCAACCAAGGCAGCGTCCCCCCTCCCCTCCCCGCAGCCAGCAGCTGTCTTCTTCCCTCGGCCCCAGGCCACCTTCTTCCACTGCCCTGGCACCTCGTTGGGGGCTAGTGGCCCCTCACATCCACATGCCGGAGCCTAAGCCCAGCTCCTCCGTGGGGCCGTGTTTGGAGACGGGCCTTTAAGGGGGGCAGAATCACAGGGAGGTGGTTAGGGTGGCCCAGTCAGGCGGGGTCCTCATAAGAGGGGGGCTGTGGACAGGGACACAGAGGAGAGGCCACGCGAAGAGGCGGCGGAGGGAGCTCCGTCAGCCTCAAGCCGAGAAGGGAGGCCTCAGGAGAAACCAGCCCTCCGTCTTCCAGGGTCAAACCAACCTTGACCTTGGGCTGGAAGCCCCAGAGCCTGAGAAAGTGAATCTGTTGTTCGAGCCCCCAGGCCCCAGCAAGCAAAGACACACCTGTCCCAGGTGAGCCGAGGCCAGGGCGGGAGGAACTGCTCAGAGGGGCGGGGCTGAGTCGTGAGTTCCCGATAATTTCCCTGGAAGCTCTCTGGGCCCCTCCCGAGCACACCACACCGTCACCAGAGGTGTCCGCCGGCATCTTTCCTTGTCCACCTGGAAAGCTCTTGTCAACAGAGCACTGGAGGCGTGCCTCCTCCCTGGCGGCTTTGTCCCCTCTCGCCTCTGAGCCTGTGCTCCCACGGCCACTCTCCCTCCTCCTGGTTCTCAGGAGATCCCCCCCCCCCCCAGGAAGCCCTCCTTGCTGACGCACTCTCTAAAGCCAGTTCCCTCCTCCTCCATCGTGAGGTTGTGAGGGTGCTCACCTGGGCCGGGGTAGTGGCCTGGACCTCAGCTACTGCTCACTACATTATAGTTATTACTAGAGGCCCGATGCACGAAATTAGTCCCTCAGCCCGGCCTGCACCCTCTTACAATCCAGGACCCCTCGCTCCTTACCGCCTGCCTGCTCGCTCCTAACCGCTTGGCTCCCCGCTCCTTAGCGCTGCCACAGAGGCGGGAGAGGCTCCTGCCACGCCAGCGGTGAGCCCAGCTTCTGGCTGAGTGGTGCTCCCGCTGTGGGAGCGCACCGACTACCAGGGGACAGCTCCAGCGTTGAGCGTCTGCCCCCTGGTGGTCAGTGCGCATCATAGTGACCGGTCGTTCTGGTTGTTCCGCCGTAACAGTTGCTGGGCTTTTATTATATGGATTGTTGTTATGTGACGTAGTTGTTAATATAGATTCATATTCACAAACCTCATATTGAATGTTGATGTGATTCTTGTCAGCCAGCTCTGGAGTCCCCACGCCGCCTCTATCTACCTTGGTCCTTCTTTGTCCCCTGCCTCCCCTCCCCTCCCCCAGCCCAGCCTCCCGGTGGTCCCCCCGGGGGGGCATGGGGTCCCTCTCAGACCCCAGCCTCCCAGGCCTGTCTGTCACCAAGAAGACTGACACAGCCGGTCCTGGCAGAGGACAGGGGCTCGACCCGGCTGCCGGCCTCGCTGCCCTAACCCGCGGGGTCTGCTGGCCCCCCGCCCGGTCCCAGCCCGGGAAGCAGATGGTCAGAAACTAATGAATCAGCCCGTCTCCGCCCGCGCCGGCTGCGGAGCGGCTTCGCCAGCAGCGAGCACAACAAATAAATCCCAGGCCTCGCCAGCGCCACTCTCCCTCCCGCTTTGTTCCCTCCCTCCTCCACCCTCGAGCTCCGAGATCTCGGGATTCCACTTAACCATTGAGGCGCGGAGCGTGGTGCCAGCAGCCGGGGTTGGACACGGGGCTACCCCCCACCTGCCTCCAGCTGACGGCTGCTGACAGCGCCGCGAGGGGCCAGGCTGGAGGCCAGTGTCTCCACTTCCCTGTGAGGCCAGATTTCATAAGGAAGCAACCAGTCCAAAGAAGTGGCCCAACTCAGGGAGAAGGTTCCGGAAGCTCGAGGCACACCTCTCGCCTTTCAGAAGGGCGCCAGAGCCGACCTTTGATACCGAAGCAGCGACTGTTTCTTTCTTTTTTTTTTTTTTAAATATATTTTATTGAATTTTCACAGAGAAGAAGGGAGAGGGATAGAGAGTTAGAAACATCGATGAGAGAGATCGATCAGCCGCCTCCTGCACAGCCCCCAGTAGGGATGTGCCCACAACCCAGGTACATGCCCTTGACCAGAATCGAACCTGGGACCCTTGAGTCCGCAGGCTGACGCTCTATCCACTGAGCCAAACAGGTTCGGCAACGACTGTTTCTTTAGACCCTTCATGATCCTATAAAAACATATGTCCTGCCCCCATGGAGAGCCCCGGAACCTTCTCCAGGAAAATGTAACGCCACGCGTTCCGGCCCGTGCAGGGGGGCCCCTGCGCCCACCTCCCAGTCGGAGCCCGGAGCAGGCAGGAAACCGGTTTGGATCCGAAAGCCCTGGGCTCGTTCTCAGCACTGGCCCTGGAAGCTGTGTGACGTTGGGAACGTTGCTCTACCTCTCTGAGTCTCACTTGCTCGTCCAGTACCTTGTGAGATGATGTGTCTGAAGTGCCTAGAAAACCC